GTGTCCCTTCCTGCCTGAAACACCTTGATTTGAGTCCTTTGTTTACATCCCTAACATAATGACATCACTATGTAACACTCACGCTTCTATTGGCTAGCGCTCCAACGCGTTGTAGGTGATATGCTAAGGGGCGGGACATCTCTAAACAGAGCCGGCCAGCTAACCAATCAGAGCAGACTGGACTCTGGTTTCAGACGGTGGGTGAAAAGAGGTACTGCAAAGGCAGTATGAGAAAATAGAGAACATTTAAGCATTCAAAGATGTTACTGTGGTGTCACAAAATACAAATATGAAACCTGAACTTTAATCAATACAATTAATTGCATTTGAGCATGTTATGCATCAACATGTTTTTTTATTTCAAGGGTTGATTACAGTTTGACGTCATTAGATTTGTGAAGCTTGTGAGGGAGTGAAGGGGCTCCTGTGGACTCATGTGACACGGAGTCAGGCTCGTTAACATCCCTTCATAAGTCGGTCTGAGCCACCCACTGTGCTTTTATTTCCTACAGTCCAGTTACTACGATAGAAAACTGCTCCTCAGTGGTTGCCATGGTAAACTGTTGCCTTGGGACTAACTCAATCTTCTAGATGTCAAGGGAACGAACAAAGGCGAAGGATAAAGGAAGCAACGAGAACATGAACTTTTCTGCAGATTGTAAGGAAAAGGATTGATAACTTTTAACATTCTCATATGTTAATAATTTATAGAATCAGATGGTACATCATAGTATAGGTGTCCACATAAAATAGGAATAGTTTTACAATAGATGTGCCACATATCAGAACTCAATACATCATTAAATGCTGTGTCAAGTAAGATTTAGATTTTTAGCCACACAGATTTGATCTGAAACCATTTAACACAATCGTACTGGAAAGAAATGTGAATAACTACACAAAAGAAGACTGTATGATGCCATTTTCCTTTCACAACAATTTGCAATGACAACTGTTCTTCTTCTTTGTTCGCTGATGCTCACAGATTAAATTAAATTTGTCACAACTCTTATTTACGTGAAAAAAAGTACATTAGTGTCACATTCTGTCTTATGATGAAGATTACTTATATGTATGTAGAGGAGTATTGTAGGGACAGTGTGCTCTCTTTGTTTGCACTTTTTGCAATTGTTGCTTTGTTAAGAGCTGTGAAAAGATCAGTCCGCAATATGAATGCTGCTGCAGGCTGCATTCCTTGGTATAGGCTTCTTAACTCTTCTGTTAACCAGGCCAACATTTTGTCATCCTATCACTTCACAGCAACCTCAAATATTCAGTTTGTTTCAATATTGCGGTGTTCTACATCGAGACAGTTTTAAGACATATTATTACAAGGCTTATTTACACAGTATTACATGAACCATGGTTCACTTGTTCACAGTTGTGTGTGTTTTTTTTTAGGTCGATCTGTGAGATGAACCTGGATACCGAGCTCTTCACTCTGCAGGACAGCAACACCAAGCTGGTGGCAGCACTGCATGAGGCTAATGCTAACGTGGAGCAGTGGAAGAAACAGCTGGCAGCCTATCAGGAGGAGACAGACAGACTCAGAGAGCAGGTGACCCTCCAATCGAAACACAGCCACTTGCTCTCCTTAAGTGCACTTACACTGAACATTGAATTAGCAACTATTAGTATATTCAATGAAAGGCATAAATTAGCCCATAGATCATTTTTGTGTTTATATCTTCATGTCAGCCATCTCAATCGACTAGCAAACATTATGTGTTTTAATCTTGTGATAGATGGAGATTAAACTTGATTTATGTCATGAACTATAGAGACCTCTCTACCAGAGGTGAGTGCTGAAACAGATCTGTTCAAAGAGAAAACCCCACTGCAGTTACAGGGCTAGACATTATAAATGGCCCACTGGCCCGGAAGCACTATTTATGGCGCTTTTCCACTGCAGGACCTAGCACGGCTTAGCACAGCTTAGTTTGGCCTTGGTAGGCCAGGCTCGCTTTAAAGGAGACCTATCATGCTATATTTAAATGATATAGTGTATGACCATACCTATATAAGGTATATTTATACATTTTATTTTTCAAAATACCAAACAAATTATTTTTTAGCCATGCCTCGTTTCGCTCATTTTCGCTCTATTCCAAGCCTGTCTTTGAAAATTCTGGGCAGCAGCTGACCACGCCCCCCTGCAGAAGAGGGGGGCATGAGCCGGCGAGAGTCACGTTACCATGCTTGCTGTGATTACGAGTGTGGAATAAACATGTCATCTCAGAGCAATGCATGTGTTCAAGCATATTATCAATTTGATCCAGAAACTGACCCTGAAGCAGCAGAGGTTTTGGTGGAGGTGCAAACATCTCGGTTGCAGCAGGACGTTTCTGAATGGTTAGTTGACAAGCCGTTGTCCCTATTTATTTTACTCTGTTTGTTACGATGCTTGCTACTTATTCCGTTCATATTTTGGCTAATTAGCAAGAATGCAATGTGTACAGTTTGTAACTTAGAGTTTGACCGATCAATAAGTCTCTGAAAGGCGGGGGAAAGTTGTGTGGATAGAGGCAGAGCGCAGCGGCAGGCAGGCAGAGAGGAGCAGGCTGCGATACCCCCCCCACAGAGCGCACCCAGAGGACAGGCTGCGTCACCTCACTTTGTAACCCAGGAAAGGAGCAGGAATCCTGGGTACGTGAGTGTTAAAAGTGCATTTATAACTTGTATTTAATATCGATCAGCGCGCTGACATGTGCACGGATAGTTCCTGCCGGTAATTTCGTTAACATTGAGTAGATCCAAAGGGCTGGAAATCCCCTTCCTACACAGTATATGTCAATGAACGTTTCGGCAATTGCCCACGTGGCCGTCGGCTCCATTCCCCTGATAGTGGTACTGAAGTTGTCAATAACGGATTGTTCACCTCTTTGTGACGTTTTATGAAAAATGTTGAAATCTTTGGATCCGTTTTTTTTTCAGCATTCCGTGTCAGCCCCTTTTTTAGAGATTTGGCTATAGGAGGAATAGGACAGAGGGTTTGTTTGGTTTCTGAACCCATAGTGAATGTTCCATCCTGGAACACCATGGAACATAGTATCATCGTATAAAAGACGTACACATATTAAAGAGTGTCATTTTCCACTTGATTATGTTCTCTTTAAGTCTTGCGAATTTCCATTTACCAGTTTAGTATCCCTGTGGCGTAGTTTACTATAGTAATCGCAGTGTATTGTTTCGGGTGCGTGAATCGTGTCTAACAAAAGTTATAATAAGTTACAAACACAACTGCTGTGTTCCTATATAGGCGAATTACAATCTGCTGGTTGATTTATGTTGGTTGGGTGTTCCGTTGGAGTGTGACGTTGAGCATTATACACCTGTTAGTCTTAGCTCGGATCGATTTCTCGATCTCCATTCTAGTAACACTACGCTATTATTAATAAGTCTTTTTCTGCTCTCGTTCCGTTACTTTGTCTGCAGACTTGTCCATATACATTTATATTCATGGTTTTTACTAACCGAGCTGTTTCAGTTTATGTTTGTTACTTTGTCGGCAATATATGTTGAAACGGTGTATTACAGATTAAATCAACGGGGTACAAAGATGGTTCATTTTGTTGTAGCTTTTGAGGGGCTTAAAAGACTGGATACAAGCGCTATAATAAGTAACAGTCCATTTACCATTTACCATTTAGTTTGTAGCCTGCCAGCGATTCTCTCGTGGACCATTCAGCAGTCAAGAGTGCTTTACGTCACTAGTTTTAGCATATTCAGAGCCGGTGTTGGCCCCGGTAAGAAAGCCTCGAAAAAAGGTGAAAAAGTAAGCCCTGAGCCGGAACTACCCCTAGTGGAAGAAAGCAAAAAAAAGTGGGCAGAGGCTTAAACGTGCTACGTGCATGCAGTGGAAAAAGCGCCATTAGACACCCCGGGCCAGCATAACGTACTTTCCACTTGCCCACTGCGGGCCCAATCACAAATATTGGTTAAAATAATAATTAATTAAAAAAAAACTAGAAACGTAAGCATTATAATCACCATGTCGCTCCTGTAGATTGGTATTTTGACAAGCAATTTTTGTTAAATTGTTCTCGTTTATTAACGCTATAACATCAGCGTTTTCGTGAGGTGGTTATCATGGTTGGATGAAAAGCAAAAGCAGCTGTTTGCGGCGGAGTAGCGCGTCCTTCACTACCAGACTTTCGCGCACCTTACCATTCGCCAAAATGTTTTTAAAACCACCGGAACCGGCCAAGCGGCCTGGCAAAAAATTATCTTCATAAAAGAAAGTCACAGAGGAGTTAAAGGAGAGTGATAGGAGTATGAGAAGGAGAGGTAAGTGAAGAGTAGAATATATCAAGGTGTATTCGCTCTTAGGGAAATGTTCCCAGCAGTTTAGAATAATGAAGGTTCTAATTTATTACATAGCCATTACATTTCTAACTCCTGATAATGACAGGAAGGCAGAAAGTGTATCATAAAAATAATAATACTCATAGCAGAAATGTCACCCTCCTTTTTTAATTTTAACAATGACCACAATATAATAATTTTAATAAACCAAATATGAACAATTGAGGAAAATGAGGAAGAACTGATGATTCAAATGTTGTAGTACAAGTAGTAATGTATAGTATGTGCATAAATTACTATTCCAACAAATGTGTTCATTTTCTTCATTATTATTAGAGTCGATATTTTGGACGAATGCTCAGTGGTTACAATGGTGGGGCCAGTGATAATGAAATTGTACTGGCCAGTGGAATTTTACCCTTAATGTCTACCCCTGAGTTAAATCAGGTCAAAAACCCTTCCTGCATTATTGAGCCAAAGTCTTAAAAGTAGATCTGCAACTATCATGTATTTTCTATAAAATGGCACTAAATAGTTATGAAAATGTGTATTCTGTGGTAACCTGCAGAGAATCTGATGGCTGAGGTCACATGTAAAAATCAATGCTGGAGCTGTGAGGCTGTAGCAGGAGTAAAGTAAAGCCTCGCTCAAACAAGAGGAGGTGATGCTGAAAGGACTCAGTCACTCTGTAAAGACCGAGTCGGCCCAGAGAGGTCATGCTGCTTTTGATTGGCCGGTCCTGTTCACCAAAACATACCCATCTGTTATGGGAAAAGAAAGTATTCCAAAAGTATTCTAAAAGTAATCTGAATACGTTACTTTAACACGTAACTGTCACTGTATTCTGATTACTTTCAGAGCATGTATTCAGTATTCAGTAACTGATTACATTTAAAAAGTAACCCTCCCAACCCTGCCTAGAAGTGATCCTTCGTTAGCATGAAGCAACTTCCTTTCATTGGTTTGGTAAGCACTTGTTCAGCAAAATAAAAAAAGGACAAGTTGCTCAGGCGGCTGGTAACACACTTTATCAGTCTATGAAATAACTTGCACTGCAGGCGTTTCCCTCCTTTATTCAAGGCGTTTCCTACCGGTTGAATCAGTTCACCACATGGTCACGTTGCATTTCACCACCAGGGAGTTTGGTGTACATTCCCAGAGCCTCAGGAGGCTTTAACACTTGGTTTACTGCTCAGGTTCCAGTCAATGCAAATGCCTGCTCCCTCCTCACTCATCAATAAAAGGTATTTTCACATTTGCTGGTAGCTGATTCCTCTGGGAATGTGACTTCGCCCTCAGGCTGACAACTACAAACCTCTCTTATTCAAAGCTTTAATACCGTGATCCCTTTCCATTATAGCTCAACTCCACAGTATCGATCACTTCCTCTTTAATTCTCCCCCACTCATCGGTATTGGTATTTGACCAAGAAATAGTTTTTTCTTTTTGATCTACATCATCAAATTAATTCAAACGAGTGAGAACCCTGTTTTCTTTGGACCGAGCTTGTTCTCTATCTAAGGAAGGGGACCAGGTGGCTGAAAATGGTTCACGTCTCTGGGGTGGTGAGAGAGAGAGAGAGAGGGAGGGAGAGGGGTTTGTAGGCCAGCAATATCCTACTTCAATGCCCCAGTTAGGAAGAAATGAGAAATCACCAGAGGGAGCTGGCATCTAGTCTGTCTTTCTTTTTTCTTCTTTCTACCGCTCCTTCTTGTCCCGACCATACATGGTTACAAATAATCCAGCCTGTCTCTGTCTGACGCAGAGGCAGTTTAAAAGGTTGTCCTTTTTAGTTTTTTTTCAACAACTCAAATAAACACAAAGAAATCTGACATCAATTCAAAACCAGTAAAAGAAAACTCGTTTTTGAGGACAAAAAAAACAACCTCAACTTTAACAGTAGGTAAACTATTTCATAAATTGGAGCACATGCTTGGTCAAATCATAACCCTAATCCTCGTTTTAATATAATTTAGACTTCATATTTAAGATATTTGTGTAAATCCTTGTTCCATAAGCTGAACATGATTGAATTTGTTTTTTGGTAAGTTGGCTGAGATAGAGGCCCATGGGGGCCACGGCCCCAGCGACCTGCTGAAGGACGAGCTGACCCAGTCCCTGGAGGAGCTGGAGGCCCTGCTGAAGGCCAAGGATGAGGTCTGTGGTTACTAATTCATTATTATCATCAGCGGGGGTCCGAGGCTGGGAAATGTACTAACAGGTGTCGATGGAAGAATAATCGACTCAAACTACCTTTTGAAATCTTTTACAGGAAATCCACATTTTGCAAAACAAGAAAGTGGAGTACCACGACATGGAGCACGACAGGGACGAGGCCATTCACAGATTACGGGTAGGAAGGACATTATTACTGCAGTGGTATGATTCTTCATATTACATACACATTGTCAAGTAATAGTGAGGTAATCAGCAGTTAAGGGGGCAAAAGGGTGGATGAAACCATAGTTGATAACTTATATTAAGACATGTTTTATCACTTGTGTGTGGTCATTTGAATACATTTAAAAAACATTAACCTGAACATTGGATAAAGACGGGTCAAAGGTCTTGTTTCATTTTGATGACGTTTTTTATTTTATTTTATGAGGGATAATCTCTTTGTATAACTCCATGAATCAGAAAATGCTGTAACAGCTGTTCAAAAAACTACTTTTTTCATGTTTTTAGGAATAAAATGTTATGTATCAGGCTATGAATAATATATAAATAAAACCCTCAATTTAAAATCTAAGAATAAACTTAGGACTAAAACTGGAAAGTTTGGTCTATGAATGTTCTGAAGTGAAGTGAAGATTTCTGGCTCTGAGTATGAGAAAAGAAAACAGATTTTTTTTGGAAATGGCCTTTAAATATATGTTTTTTGCAAAAATCCATACATTTTGCAATACACTACAGGTGAGTAGTGTAGACAATTGTATCAATGCAACCATGAAGCATTATATAATCCTTGTTTTGGGTAAATTGAGGTGGAATCTAAAACGCAAATAGACAAAAGTTAAATAAAAAAAAGTATTATTCATTTTCAGATGTCTTCTTTCGACCCTTGTTTTGTGTGGCTTTCAACTGACAACAGCTTCCTCTCCTCTGTAGGAGACGGAGATGCGTAATGCAGAGATGGAGCGCCGCATCCAGAACACAGAGCAGACGCTGAGTAACTCTCTGGAGGAGCGGGATCGCATGGAGTCTGAAATCCAGAGGGCCATCGAAATTCTGGACATCAAGATCTTTGACCTCAATGACCTTCGCCAGAGCCTGGTCAAACTCATCGACAAATAAGAGGGGAGAAAACCCAACCCAAGAAAAAGGAACAGATGACAGGGGTAAATGTGTCGTGACCAATGCAGCAGGGAGGAAACTAAACAAGATGGAGCCGTCCCTCTTCAACAGGAGCAGCTCCTCGGCTGCAGGGTGGCAGCGTACACACGGTTTGCTTGTCCAATGTAATGTAACGCTTCATGTTGCTTTCAAGAGTCACATTCAATGCAATAAAACCACTTTAAGGTAAGTGCTTAACGCCGCTAGACATTTATTACAAAAAATGGGTGCTTGTAATTTTTCACAAGTATGACTTTCGTACAAGTGGCGATGCAGTGTTATTATAAATAAGAGGCCTTGGTTATTTTTTCCACTGACAGGGTATATTTAAACGTCTTTACAACAAATGAATTCCACTAAGTGAATAAAAGGGAACAAGACTACATTACTATTAAAAGGTTTGCCTGCATATATTATAATAATAATAAATACATGTGTGTATGGTCTCGTTTAAAATAGCAGCTTTAATGTTGTTTTAAGTGAAAGCTGAGTGGTTCTATATAAGAGCTTTCCCTGCAACAATAAGCAATGACATCTTTTTTAAGGTCAGAAATAAAAGTATGCTCATAGTGTTTAATATTCTGGTAAGGCATGGAAGCACAACTTCGGATCTGGATATGGACACCAAAGATCAAATGTGTAGAGCATCGATAAGGTCTTTCAACAGTCGTCCGTTATCACATCATCATTTAAACTCGTAAGAAACCTTTAACTTTAAGTACGATACGTATTTACACTTACGATAAATAAGATTTTTCCACATGATTTAAATCAATTATGATATTAGGTAAACACACAAAATAAGTAATTGCTTTGTAATAATAAGTTTAACTAGTCCTGTTTAAATAATCGTCCTGTGCAACAAACTACTGACTTAGTAACTTATTAACGATAGACACACTGAGACATTTTCTGCCTTCTCTCATTTCTCAGCACATTACTTAGCTGTGGACAACATGTCACACACTTTGAGTGTGGCTGTACTGTGTTAAAAGTGTATTTATTAAAAAACACAATGTCTACTTCACGGAGTGTTTTATCACAAAGACTGTATTGTTTAACATTGTCCAGAATGCTATGTTTGTATTATTGTTTTCGAGCCTTATTGTTCGCATTACAATCGATATCGATATTAATGCCAGCTGTGTCTCAAACTTTTGAGCTGATGAGGATGGTTTGGAAATAAAAACAAAGAATGCAGTCATCCGGTCATATTATTGTGCTGTGTGTTATGTTAAAGGCCATTTAGTTAAATGATGATAATTAACCTTAGCTGATTCATTTGGATGAATTTTGCATTTGATTTGACACAATCACAAAAAACTGAAAAATCTTCTGTGACTAAGTAAAAAACCAATCCATTAATCAATATCGCTTGTCAACATATTTTATTGACAATATCCAGTCCCACCTTTTATTTCAGCTTCTTTTTGGGTCTGACTTCATACAGTAAGTGTCCTGAGGGTTTACGGCACATGGACGTAAACGAGCGGAGCACCTGAGAATGAGAGGAAAAAACTGTAAGATCAAAAAAAACATCACCATCCTGTCACTCTCAGGACAGGATGAATCCTGGGGAAAAGTGTTGTAAGGGGTTTCCCGACATGTCGTTGCAGTACATTAAAGGGTGTTTCATGTTGTCGTTGCTGTGGACCTTCTTAATCTACCTTTTTTGGGGGCCCCCTTCTGGTCCAAGCACTTGTCTGCCTTGCCTGTCGGCAAACGGCGCCCCTGTATACACACACACACACACACACACACACACACACACACACACACACACACACACACACACACACACACACACACACACACACACTACTAANTCCCTGCTGCCGTCCGGATCGACAGCCAATGCGCGCAGCCAGCGAGAGTTCACAACGAAAAATGGCGTCAAATATTGTTGATGTTTACGCATCAGAAAAAGCTAATAGCGCGGGTATTTGGCACAATTTGACAGAACAATTATTTGGTGTGGACGATGCGAGCAGTGACGATGAATCTGAACGATCTCTGCCGCCTTTTACACCAGAAATAAGAGGCCTAGAACCGTATAGGTTCGAGCCAGCAAAACGCGAATGTGCACCACCGACCTTCTCTTTCGGGAACAAATGAACGGTAAAACCATCCCGATTGGTGTTGCTACACCCGCCAACGACACACCTCTTCACCATGATCCGGAAAAACTTCGGGAAATCCGGGAAAAAACAAGACAAACTCGGAGATAAACACTGATACACAAAGTTGACATGCGGCTATACCAGCAATGCTACACTGTGTGATGCTGGGACGGGCTGAACTCACCAGGATTAGCGGAACCACACGTGACGTCACGACACAGCACCAAGCAGCGGCAAGTTTGAATCCAGACTTTTCTGGATACCTCTGAATTTGACCCATTTTCCCGATATTAACAAGTGATTTACAGCAAATAGGAAACGATATTCGATCTATATCACGTGTTACTGGAGTAAGACCCAACAAGTTAATGCATTTTGAAACAGTTCTATGATCTTTCAGCTACAGTAAATTACGCAAGATAAGGACTTTAAAGCCTCCAAAGACTTACCTCTTCATCCAAACACCCACATAGCAAACAAGTTAGAGTTGGACTTCAGAAGACTTGATTAAAGTCCTGGGAATATTAGATCTTTTTCTCCAGGCCTCGAGCACTAGCTCCCTGTTGATGGCTCTAGTTGTCCTGATGTGCTTCTACATCTTATTTTCTTCCAGCTTCAGCTCCCAGGATGAAGGAAAGACATCAGGACAACTAGAGCCATCAACAGGGAGCTAGTGCTCGAGGCCTGGNGGGGCGGGTCTCACATTGAGCGCACTTAAAGCTCCTGACAAAGCAGAGTTCAGATCTGAACCTCCCGCGTGCAGGCTGAGAGCTCAGTGCTGAACATCTGCTGCTGGATCGACATCTTCATCATCTTCATCACTCCGTGTTTCTCATTACACGTCCTCACCATGCGGTGGTAAGTAAATTCTCTAATCTGATCGTCCTCCAGTTTGTCATTGTGTGAACTTCTGTTAGGCAGTGTGGAGATGTTATTGTAATGCGAGGATTACTTTATGAATCACGTGTTTACAAGTTTGCAGGCTATAACTTTGTGCTGTTGTGTAACTTTGTGTCACATTTAATTGGAATATTGTTATCATCGGTGGTTTTCCCTGCTGTGAAAAATCATTGGACTTTTTTAAGTAATATTTTTTCTTTTTTACAAAGGGACAAGTGTCCTGCTTGAATGTCAAACAATTGAAACATCGCGATAAAACATGGAATGTTAATTTCAAACTACTCTCCAAACCATTGAGCTTTCTTGCATTGATAAAGGACCAACATGTTAAATTAGGTGAAAAAGCAAGTCTTCACAATATAAAGGAACATTATTCCCTGCATGGTGTTTATCTTATTAAATCCAGGCTGAAGACTTTTCTTTTTGCCGCTGCTTTTAATTGAACAATTCATATCTTAAACTGCACTGTAACTTTTATTCATGTATCTTTTCTTTTAATGTTTATTTTATTATATTTGCTTTTTAATGACTGTTTTTAAATGCCATTTCTTAATGTCTTTCATTTTGTAAAGCACTTTGAATTGCCTTGTGTTGCAAGGTGCTATATAAATAAACTTGCCTTGCCTTATGTCCTACAAAAATGCAATTTAGTAGCTTTACGTTTCAGTTATTATTTAAAAATAGATAAACAAAATAATCTACTTCTTACTTTGTTTGAACAGCAGTTAGACAGTAGTTTAAAATTTCTAAAATTAAATCTATGAACTGATTTATGTTGTGAAAATTGATTTTGAATAGAAGCTGTTTGATAAACATCAAACTACACAAAGTCTTTTTTCTGTGATATAGCCTGAGATAGCCAGCGGGGATTAAAAAAAGGTAATAACAGTTTGTTTCATGAGGCCATACATAACATTTCTTATATCATATGATAAAAACAACAGAACAGTGAGCTCCTGGCTTCACAGGTATGGGGCTCTGTTCAGCCTGGCAGTCCTTCAGTCAGGGTTGGCAGCATCATCTTACCCTTTTTATTTGAAGAAGTCCTTGACATTTTCAAAGCTGCTGTCATAATCCACAGGTATAAATGGGAGTTACCGGTATTAGAGCCCGCGGGACGACCATATGTCGCTGCATGGGCTCTGTCCACAGAATTCATCGGCATGGCTGTGTTCTTCTATCCACCTTCTACTCGATTTTATTGACGTTTTTACATGTAAACTAACATTTTTCTTTCAATCAGGGGTCCAAAATAGCTAAAAGACGTTTTTTGTCCTGTACGTGTATCAAATGTGGTTCTTCACCACAGTGTGATTTATCTGCTGCTTAGGAACCACAGCATGTCTCTGAATGAGGATCGATGAGGCATGAAATTGATGTTGTCCATTCTTTTATGTTCTTTAAAGCTGTATTTGTTTTTCTCCTCCATGTGACGGGGTTTCCATCCTCTGAGCCGGTGTTTGTATAACACGATGACCTTGGTTAACCTGCAGAGACCTTTTAAAACCCCATCTTTAAATGGACCCAGATATCTGCTGAACTTGCTTGTGAATAAGAACAACTTTGCAATTTTGTGGTAGAAAAAAAAACGGTTTTGTTTTGACTTCCTGACTTGTGAAAAAGCTGGGTCATGGGATAAAAAGTGTTGGATGGTGCTGAATTAATGTAACCCTCCCTACTATATATTCTGCCAATGTGGCATAAAGTAAACTGTCAAGTAGAGTTGCAGTGAGTAGCAAAAATGTGTCTCCTGTTGTGTTACTCTATGTATAAGTATATATTTTAATATTTTTGTTTTTAAAGGATCTAAGAGGAAAAGTAACTCAATAATCCAGTCTTGTCTTATTTTCTTTCATGTTTTCTGGCAGATGATAAAAAGCAGTCACATTATAATTCTATCGGGAAAGCAAGTTCTGCAGTTATAGAAGTAGTTCAACAACATCTCATTACTGCACTATGTTCCCAGGTTTCATTAGCAGTGTTTTTCTGAGTGCTTTCCCCATACTGACTCTGACTAATGTGTTGTCCCGTGTAAACTTCATGCCTACTTCATGACTCTCTATTAACTACTGAGTCTTGTTCATTTAGCTTCCTTTTGAACACGCAGTTGTCTGAACTGTCCGTCCCTCAAGCCATTTGATAATTGATACTGAGGCAGGCAGTTTCTTTCATTACGTCTTTAAGGCCCCTATTAAAGCTTTGCTTGGCCCTTATGTTCCATCATCTGGAGAGCAGGGGGAGCCATCAACGTGTCTTTGCGAGGATCAGCGGGGCGGTGAGCGGGGAGAAGAAGCCTCCTGGAATAGAATCTGCTGACTGGGGAGTGCACCTACTGCAGGAAACGTCTCTCCACTGCACGGCCCATTAAAGAGCCCAGGGAGTGTTGCTGTGCAGGAGTGCAGAAACTCTCTGAGGGTTTCCTCCACATTATTTCATCAGTGTCGGATTTATTTATGTTGCACTAAGCAGTACCTGAGTTCAGGGGAAGTGTGCTGCTGCAGCCTTGTCTCAGTCATTTTTTAAACGAGAAAGATGATAAGGTCAGACAGGAAGTGAAATAACTGCTTAAAAGTGAGACTGTTGCTGCTAGGTCTGGGTGAAGTGAACACCCCTTATTCTGGGCGCTGAAAAGAAACTAACAATCTATAATCCTTGACATGCTTCAAGGCCCCTGTCAAGATCTGAACCCCCTGAATCAATCAGTCTTTTCCCTCCGTTAAGCACTTCTCGACGCTGAAAACTCCCTCACTCACGTTGCGTCTTATCTCTGTTTTCTTTCTCTTCAGGTATCTCGGTGAGTGAATCCCCAAATGAAGACGTCCCTGGAGACGCAAGACATTAAGATAGAAGCTCTTTCGGTAAATAAACAGCGTGCTGCAACACAGCCAAACCGTTTGAAGTGATTAAACAAGAAAACGCTCTGAAGCGCCAAACAGCGGATCATTCACAGCCTGCGAGCACTTTGATTGATCTATGGAACATCTGCAGCTGCTCCATTTGTAATCACAATATATGCACCTCTAAGGCTGCTATTGGAAGACATTACAAATATGGTCAAATAAACTGAGGACCTCGCAGGTGATTTGAGTTGAACAGTAACCTCAGCTTTCGTATTTTCTGCTTCTCTTGGGAGGAACAGACAGGACCAGTAAATCTAATTAGACTTCGGTGGGCATGCCTCAGCTTGCTGCTCGGCTCATCAGGGGGCTTATTCGTTTGCACTACTGATTTGCAGAGTGTTATCTCGACTGGAACAGTTTCTCCGCCCTCTGGTTTGTGGGAAACTCTGCGGTTAACCTCTGTCAGATTTCACAATGTGATCGCCCTCTGGGTTTAGAAACCACGAAGATGACCCTGCAAAGCCATGCTGCTCCTCATAGCTTCTGACCGCAAAATAACACAGTGAACGATTTGAACCTTCGAAGCATTACCTTACTTTCAAGATGAGCGACTCAAACTACTGGGTGGTGGACTATGAGACCACGTCTCCTGCTCCGCCCGGGTTCCCCAGGGGCCCCACGGTGCCACAGCCCATGCCGGGGCACCCCGAGCAGGGGTCGGCCCTGTGCTTTGTCGGCCTCCTGGTGCTGCTGCTGCTCTTTCTCGTTGTTCGTTGCATCCGTATCCTATTGGACCCCTACAGCAGCATGCCCTCCTCCTCGTGGACGGACCACAAGGAGGGACTGGACAGAGGACAGTTTGATTACGCGCTGGTGTGAAGATGATCGGAAGATGGAGGAGAGGGATGAATTTGGAGATATGTAAAAGGTACTTTAAAGTGATTTTCGATGGATGATAATCGTTTTGCGCCCTGCTAAAAACCACCGCTTCTGAAAATGAATAAACTCCGGTTTGTTTGTTGTGTGATTGAGGAACTATAATTGAAGCTGAAACGATGAGCATAACAAACCCTTGAAGCCACAGTATCTCTGGAAGTATTATGTTCAGAGAGAAGAAGAGCAGACACACCAAAGGTCTCATTCATTTTCATTCATTCATTTTGTGTATTGTGTTACACTGAAGCTTTTACAGTCCCACACCCTGCAGGAAGAGAGCGATCAGTATCGCCGTATTATATTACAATAAAAGAGATACAATGAGTTTAGTGCAGACAATTAATTTGTTTTGACATAAGTAATGCCCACTGTTACAGACAATTTAGAGCAATATATGCAGGCCATTTTACATGTGGATTAACAAATGTAAACATGACAGTTTTGAACCTTTTTTGGAGGTGCAGCTGAATCAACAATTAAGAAGATGTCACCTCTTTTATGTATTTCTAAATGTGAACCATGCTAGAAATGGTGAGGCATTTGAACCACCTCTAACATGATTCTCAGGTGAAATTATTTATAATTATCAAATGCTTCTATAATCTGAAGGAAAAGCTTAAATCACTTCTTGAAATGTAGCTTTGGGTATTTGTGTCTCTCTATGTTATTTAAAATGCACTGTGTCCTGAATTCCAATCATATCCTATTATGAAAGCTGATGGCAATAATACATAACAGTTAATACAAAATATTTTATTTGGGGTTTTACTCCTTCCTGTTCCCATCCCTTTAAGAAGCTTATGAGGCACATTGCGGAGGGTCACAGCGCTGACTCACTATGTGTCATATAAAGTTATGACTATGAAATGCATGTACACCAATTTCCAACCCCTAATCCTTTTTTTGCCTTTAGTCCCATCCACCAGCCAAATCTGTTGCACAGTGCCTGTAGGAATATGAGAAAGCTAATAACTATATCTTACTATTGTTACTGCTCCTCTTGCCACTTGTTTCGTTATATTGTTTATTCCCTTGTTAGACTGTAAAGTCTTCTCTTTATAAATAAAGTTTAGTATTGATATTTTACGGATTTGTCAAAAAAAATAGGTGTTTTATTATTTAAGACCAAATGACTGTTAATCAATACCAAACGTTTGTATGTGGTCCCTCTTCCTGGATGTAGACGCTGGTAAAGAGGACAGGTTTTCCTTGTGTTTCTTTATAGTGGAATTTAGTTTTTTAAGGAAATAAAAAGCTTTTGTCTCGTCTTGCATCTTAGTAGGTTTCATCACTTTAAAGCCATACCGCACACACACACACACACACACACACACACACACACACACACACCCACCCACACACACACGGAGGATGCCCCCTCACAAACCCCAACCCTCATCACAGCACTGTTTGGATAAGAGTAACATAAGAGCAAATCAGTGGTAACATGGATCAAAACAGTGTCACAATAAATAAAATAGCAAAAGGATAAAGGTCAGAATCTTAGATAGTGCTTCTCCTTCCTAATCATTGGTGTAAAAAGTCAGATGTTTCACTTGTCACACAGTTTTAAATTGCATTCCCTGAATGCATCTTCAATTGGGTTCCAGCAGGAGTCCCCCATATTTCCTTGTTTGGCTTTATCCTTTGTGGTGTATATGCCTGGTCTATGCTTCACTTTGTGGGAACTCACTTAGTTGAGGAGGTCTGACCTCTTCTGAATATTTTGAGAACTACAAGTGTGAGTCTCAAAATTACTTCTCAATGAGGAACATTTCTTTTGAATTATTTTGAATCTATATTTTCGGGTGTGTGGGTTTTAGAAAAGTTAAGTACACCTGGTAATAGAGGTGTAAGCACATACATTGTATTAAAAAAGATTAGTGTCAAAATAAGTGCACATTGCATAAACAACTTTCAAAACTGAGTATGCTGACTGATGAATGATGAACTATATATGAAGATAACAGTCCCACAGAGCATTCCTGCAAGATCTGATCTGATATTGTTGAATTGTTTTACTTATAACATCTGAGGGTATTGTCATTAAATGTGGTAAATACATTAATGCAATTGTTATGAATTCACCACTAGCTCAATCATCAGCTCATTATGTGCATTTGTACAGCTTTATTCTGTGTGACTGGTGAAGCCACACACACAGAATAGTATTCGACATACTTATCTCATCTTATTCTCCTTCTTCCGTCACAAATGTTGTTACGCTACTCGTCCGGGAGCGTTGACACGAAACACACAAAAAACGATTTCTCAGAATTTTCTAGTTACTAAATACTTGCAAAGTTATAACTTTCCCATGGGCATCAGGGTTTCTCTGTGTTTAGTGTAAATACGCAAAGCGTAAATAACGTTGTTATGTTTAACGCTGAGCAAGGTAAAGTGTACCTAAATATCAGCGTGTTAGCATGTTCACTGTTTACATAATAGCAATTAGACAGGGCCAATTATCTGAAGTCCTTAAGCATGCTCAAACAATGCATATCAAAGCTTGAAGATGCTGATAAAGCAGCCAGACTAGCTGGACCCTTTCTCAGTTTACAGTTCATCAGGCTTCAACAGATGGTTGGAAGCGTACTGAGTGTACCCCCATCTCATTAGTGCCGCAATTAACGGGAGAGATTTTGCTTCAGTGGAGCCTTACAATTGACATCATTGATAAAACAACAAAGGCACTCAGTTCCTATCACCCGCTGTCATATACACAAACCTGACCATGTGCAGCACACCAATATGCAAAACTAAATCACAGAAAATAAACGGAATTTTTGTAAAATGACAAGATATACAACATCTTTTGTGCTTAATAAATGTTGAGTCAAATGTCACTTATTGTGATGTTGGGTGTTGCAGATTCAGTTGATTGGATTACCTCTCGCTCTCTTATATTTTGACATGCAAACATTAGACACCTGTGTCGAAGTTAATGGAAACATAGAGAGGTGCAAAACAATATGGAAATACCTTCCTGAATCGGCAAAGGTCATTTTAAGGGTTGGGATCCCCCACCTAACGCCCCCCTCCCCACCCCCCACACATTAAGCACAACCCACATCCATACATAAAAATCATGTTATTATGGTGGAATACGTACACAAACTCTCTAACTCTGTGTGCTGCAGTCTCTCCCAGTAAGTCCACCTTTTTACAAACCTGACGTAAACATGACTGAATAACAAACACAATGCTTTAATCAAAACACAGCTGTTGTTCTGACTGACAGAAAACGATAGCTACAGTACATAACTGGTGATGTTATCAGCAGACACCCTGCTAATCTCCCTCCGTGTCAACACTATCTGCTGAGTGTTAGTATAAATGGAGGAGGAGGACTTGTGTGTGTGTGTGTGTGTGTGTGTGTGTGTGTGTGTGTGTGTGTGTGTGTGTGTGTGTGTGTGTGTGTGTGTGTGTGACAATCATGTGAATGTATGTGTGTGCTAAGGGAGTGTGTCTCATTATAGTTTTTTATTAAAGTAATCAAATAAAAAGCCCAACATGAAATATGTAATAAGAGCAGAGTTTGTGTCCCCGTCCCCCGAGGCTATGCACACAATTGTATGTTTACCTTCAAACGGTGAAGTCCTGGTAGAGTCCTGGTTTGCTGCTATTAGTGTCATCAGCTGCTTTCTTTCTCCCAGGACAGGTCTATCGTGAGCATGACGTATAAGGGAGTATAAGGAAACGGAATGAGATATACTTGGTATTTACTGTGTCAAGCATTTTGTATTACTTTAGAGTACAACTTTGTGTGGAATATACGGAAATGTAACCGGATATTATAACCAAGTTGTACAACATTTATGGCCCGTGGACCATTTTGAAAATGTGGACCACAATGAAAATAAATAGTTTTCCAATGGGAATTTTCTTTAGTACTTTAAATGTAAATAAGGTGCATTAGAAAATCATTAAAATGGATAGAGGTACAAAAGGAAGGATCCCCAAGAGAGAGGTCTAGGATAAGCCTTGCCTATGGCCATTTTGCAAAAGTGTCTCTTGGGCAAAACAAGCTGAGAGCCTGCAGTTAGCTGCCAGTATGGCCATAAGTAGCAATTACAGGTATATTCTAAACGTTTAAATGAAGCATAACAATAGCACCAGTTGAGGAGGAATGGTCAGATTTCGCCAACCCATATCTTGAGACAGCTAACATAAGCTAACATTACCAGACCAAGTGAAGCAGAGTGAGTTTTATTATATTATGCTTTCACCTTTTACATTTCTATCGGGAAGATTATATTTGATTCTCCTCTCAAAATGTACAGTAGGCTGTCACTGCTGATGTGAATGTCTAACTTCTAGCAACTAGCAAGTCTTACTCAGTTGTTTTAAGTTTACAGCAACACCAGTTTTAGCCTAAACCATTAACGTTGTTGTTAGCCTTTATAAAAAGTCGCGTGCTAATGCCCAGTATTTTCTTTGTTGCTGACTTTTTTGACCCGCGGCTGTGAGCAGGAGCCGCCTCTTGTGTCTCGCGTGCCACTCAACCATAAATCTACATCAATATACAGAGAATACCGGAAGCCTTCAGAATAAAGGTTCACCTGACATACTTTTACGTTACCGTAGATTGGCATATTCAAGTAATTTGAATATTTGGTGTACTTATTTGGGAGAACATGTTTTGGTAAACACAAACAGACGTGTCTTTGCAACTACGTTTTCATTTTGTTGGCTTGAAAAACCGCAAGTATCTACGAGGTGCTCTTATTTTGAAACTAGTAGCAACTCCTCTTTGTTGTCCCTAACTTGTCCTGTGAGGAGTGAACGGCTTCTACTGTATCTGCTGTGGTCGTTAGGGATACAGCGATCTGGACGCGCTTCCCTAGACTGATACATCTGAAACAGATTCACAATTTTACAGTGGATTTAATAGTTTTTACCACTTTGTCATTTCCAGAGAGCTGCCCCCTAGGTAAGTTCAAATAAAACTTGGTGTGTTTTATGCTGGACATCAATACAACCCACTTAGTTTTAGCTGGTTTTCTGTCTTGAGACTCTTGATGGTTTAACAAAGACATATGACATAGCCTATACATACTTTTCGGGCTTGTTCAATTTGCTTGTGGCACTGTTATAGTTTTGTTCTGTTATTTATAGTGTGATGTATATATATATATATATGCACGCACGCACGCACGCACGCACACACACACACACACTGTATAAAGCTCTGTGTGTGTTTGGTTATTTTGTGAAATGATTGACACTTGACTGTGTAATACTCCTACAGGATGTTGAACTTAATATATTGTTGATAGCTTATTTTTTCAGGTAGAAACAAGTATCAGAATATATGCAAACATGGTTTTCCTCGGTTTATATCTCTTTTTCTCATGTGCCAAAATGGCTACACAAAAACACACACACACACGCACGCACGCACGCACCACCACCACACACACACACACACACACACACACACACACACACACACACACACAAACAAACAGCAAGAGATTCAGACCTGCCTGAAACAATGTGATTGGGCTCAGGCTTAACTATGTATACACCTCTGTTTTAAACATGTTCTCTGTCTGTCCCTCTGCAGCAGAATGGACCTGCTGCCTGACATATGGAGGCAGGAATACTGGCTTCCTCCAGGTGTGACATGGAGAGACGTGGAACAGCTGGCAGAATCTGACCGGCCCCGACCCCACGACCTCCTCGTGGCTCTGCCCCTCGCGCTTGGCTTCGTTGCCCTACGCTACGTGTTTGAGAGGTAACACACACCTGATCTCTTTGTTTTGTCATAATCTTGCTGATGTGTTTGTTTGGGACTTTGGAGGCTCTACAGGAAGAAAATCAAACACTTATCCTGCCCGACCTGAAATAACTACTATAGCCTTTGTCTAAGAAATACAATCCTCTTTTTACAGTTCAACAAACTTGGTTCTTAAATTCATTCAGCAGGTCCTGTGAGTGAGTGAGCAGGTGTTTTGGCAAAGCAGGCATTGTTATCATCTGGAAAAAAGGCCTTTGGGGAATTGAAGGAGAGACAGAGAGAGATGAAGAGAAAGATACATCGAAATGTTCTGTCCTAAATAGAGGATTATCAATGTTAACTATTTAACATTAAAGATGTATACCAAATGCAATGTGAACTTTCCTCGTCGTTTTTGTATTTGTTTCCAAAATCTAATGAAACACATGAAAGGGAATCCATAGGTAGCTACAAACCATAGGTGCTTGTGATGCAGTGGGCTTGTTAGTAGTGGCTAACAAGCCCAATAGGCATTTTTTAAACAGCCTCTCTCTCTCACACACACACACACACACACACACACACACACACACACACACACACACACACACACACACACACACACACACACACACACACACACACACACACCCACATAGTCTTCAGGGGTTTTGATTGGTTGATTACATCCTCAGAGTATTAACTGTTGTAACATTCAGCGAAGAGAGTACTTGTTAAACCCAATTAAAAATCAAATTTCTATTTGTTTACACTGCTATTTTATTTCGCTATATTCTGTTATCTCATATAAACTCTATGATGTTTTTTATTATATATAATGTTCATGTCATTTTTGATTCGTTCACATTATGATATCTATATTGATTTAGCATTCATACTAATCTTCTAACTATAGACAGCCCCTGTCATATATTGGTACCACTTTACAATAAGACTACCCTTATAAAGGGTTTACGAATAGTTTGTAATTCATTTATTAATTAGGTTGTAAACACTTTATAAATCATTAATAAGCTTTTATAAGACATGAGATAAACAGGGCAACTGTGACCGGTTGCTTGCCAAATAGTGAGCCAACATTTATCTGTACTGCTAAGCCTTATATTGGCTACCTAGCTTACTTCGTCTTCTTCATCAGCCAGCATCCTTGGTATCTCTTGTTCACTGAGTTGATTCTCGCTAAGTAGCCAATATAATGCTTAGTCATCTTGCCAAATAGTGAGCCTGTGTTGATGTATGAAAACTATGTTAGAACTGGTTTATAAATGGTTCTTAATGATTAATAAAGTGTTTACAACCTAATTCATAACCTAATTATAAACCCTTTATGAATCCTTTATAAGTATAAGTCTTATTGTAAAGTGGTACCAATTCCTCATTGTGTACAATAGGTAAACAACTGCAGGCTTTGTCGGGACTGTCTGTCAGTGACTATTACCGGTGGATCATTATTAATTAAAGCTGTCTTTGGCTTTATCAAGGTTTTTTGCCCCACCCATGGGCAGATGTTTGGGGGTAAAAAAAAGGCTTCAAGTGACTGCTGCCCCTTCCCCAAAGCTCGAGGTGTTTTACTCCCAGAGGAGCAGACAGCCGACACAGGTTAGTTTGAGAAGGCTCAAACATTGGTGAGTTTTAATTTGGAATAGGATCAATACTAAAAGGTTTTACATTTCTCAAATGAACATTTTAAGCTTGTGCTTCCTCTTGTTTGTCATTGGCTTACTATTCTGTGAGATAAGCAAAGAGGAAGAACGTTGAGATGGTAACAAATACTGGTAAACCTATCCCAGGAGGAAACAGATTTTCACAAGTGATTAACATTTATTATTATTATAAATATTTGATACTCTCAGTTTTGTGCATGTTTTCTGAAAATGATATCTCTACCTCAAACTTTTTCTCCCTTTTCGTGTCATTTCCTCATTTACTTCCTACATTTCTGGTTACATTATATGGAGGACCTTGAAAGAATGCTTTCTAATCTTCATCCCTCGCCTTTTCATTCATTTCAACCGTCCATTTATTGTTTCAGAGTGATATTGTCAGTTTGATGTCGCTGTGTGGAAAGACCCAGAGGGAGATTGAGAGGTGGTTCAGACTCCGCAGGAACCAAGACAGACCCTGTCAAACCAAGAAGTTTGGAGAAGCTGCGTAAGTGCTCTCTCTCTACAACCCTTTCACAACCCAGTTCACAGGTGACTTCCCTCAAGAACACTTCTATCAAAACTCTCTGCAAAATCCAGAGACAGCCTGGGAAAACCCCTTAAAAACGTGACTAACTTAGCCCGGGTTAAAACTGCAAAACAAGTCCTTCGATGTTGAGTTGTTTACATTTAAAAAGTACCTTTGTCTCAATGTTCAACCTTTTTTATCTTAACTTTTTGTTTTGCAGTTGGAGGTTTTTTTTCTACCTCACAGCCTTTATGTCTGGACTGGCCTGCTTGGTTGTTGTGAGTATGAGTTTGAAAATAAACTTACAGCAACAGCAAATATTTGAGTTTTACTATTTTACAGCAATACTGTACAGTATGTTCCTCTTTTTTATACAGAGACCGTGGTTCTGGGACCTCAGGGAATGTTGGAGGAGATATCCATTTCAGGTAAAAACACAAATCTCACTGCTTTGATGTTTAGTGTCATATTTCAGTATTACATTTCTGTCATATATTGCACGATTTACCATAAAACAGGAAGATAATGTTAATCTAATGGGCATTGCCCCATTGGCCGAGATGTCACATGCATGTTAGGGTTCAGACCTGAGGACCTTTACAGGTCAACATTGAGTTAAGTCGTAGCGACAACAACCTCAGGCAACGTGAAGGCGACCTTACATAACAAACGATATCTGATTTAAATGAAAATGGCATTGTTTGCTCCACCCTTGATATAGAGCAACATAATGTTTGTTAAGCCTTTGTTATCTAGCGCAGCATAGTGGACAATGGAAGTCCTACCACATCATACTCAATAGAAGAAGTAATGTTAACACATTCGCCCAGTCTGCAACGCCTCCCATAATGCACTACGACGACCCATTCATCGTTATTTGCAGCTTCAATTTGAGTTACAGCTGCTACCCAGTGTCAGCTGCTATTGCTAAATTCATGCGCCAGCAGAAATGTCTGGATGTCTTTTAACCACCTTGCATTGACGATTAAAAAATGTGTCTGTCCACAGCCCATGGAGAGAGCTCACTACTGGTACTACATGTTGGAGTTGGGGTTCTATGGCTCGTTGCTCCTAAGGATCTCTGTGGACATCAAGAGGAAGGTGAGGATCTGAATCATTTGCTTCAAAGCACATTTGCTCTTTAGAAGAGGACATAAGTCAAATCAAAATGTTTTGTGAGCTTCAGCCTAATAATACTTCATATTTTATAGCTTACACCTGTGCTTTAAATGAACGACTCTGCTTGGCAGAAAATAGACATCCTGGAGAGGCTGCCAGCTGAGTTACAACTAATGTTTGCAAAGATAGTTATTTTCAAATAACTTAAGATCCAGACGTTCAGGAGGGTTGAACCACTAGCCAAATAAACCCTCCCATCCAAGACAATGATGATTTAAACTGGTAAAAACGCTGAATAGAGCAGCGGCATGGTGTTTCCATGATGCTGTTTTGCTGCTGTGAGCGTTTCAGCTTGTTTATCTAAGAACTAAAGATCCAGGAAGCTGAGACTAAAACCCTTACAAAGCCTGTTAAAAACAACCAAGTATTTTGTAAAATGTGGCTTAGAACTGAATAAAATGATGATGATATGATGTTGTTGTTTTTTGTTTTAATCTACATATTGTTGGTTTGCTAGGATTTTAAAGAACAGGTCATCCACCATTTGGCCACCATGTTCCTGCTCAGCTTCTCCTACTGTGCCAACTACATTCGCATCGGCACCTTGGTCATGCTGCTTCATGACTCCTCTGACATCCTGCTCGAGGTATTCTCACACACTTTCCCATTGTCATGCTGCTTTCATATTATATGTCGGCGGGACCAAAAAGAACAACTTGTACATAAACAGTCCCATGTCATGTAATCGGGATGTGGGGCCATAGCCAAAGGCACAAGGGACCTTACAAATATACAAATATAAGTATACAAATATAAGTAATGTCTCCAGGGCATGTCACTGTGGATTCACCTCCATGCTGGCCCTTTGTCTGTTTGTGCAGCCCAACAAACTTGATGTCTTTATTTTGTCTAGTTTGAGCATGCAGATCCTGTGACTGAGACATGATAGCTAAGAGCACTGTAGCAGCCCGAGGAAACCTTTGTTGACCCGTATATGATGATGATTCAGAAATTATTTTAGAGGACCAAATTGTGCTAAATTTTTGCACTAAATTAGATTATCAGGACACAAATCATAAAACAGCAATAAAACGTTAAATACAAAGTCTATAAAGGCTGCATGTCTGCTTTACAGACGCATCATAGACTGAGGGGACATTAAGCTCACATGGTCATTTTTATCGTCCTGTTTTTTCTTGTTTCCCTATTTTCCTAGTTCCCAGCCTGCCTCATTAACACGACTACGCTTCACATGTAGCTTCCATTCTGGTTTGTTTTTGTTTGATCAATGCAATTATTTGCAGTCTGCCAAGATGTTCAACTACGGCACTGGCTGGAGGAAGACTTGTGACACGCTGTTCGTTGTGTTTGCTGTGGCCTTCCTTGTGACCAGACTAGTGATTTTCCCCAGCAAGTAAGGTTTACTCTTTAGAAGTTTTTCCATTGTTTCAATGTTTTCATATTTTGTAGGGATATAACATGTATTATTGAATTACTTACAGAATCATACATACCACCCTGGTGCTGTCAATGGAGGTATTTGAACCTTTTTTCGGCTATTACTTCTTCAACGTCCTGCTGATGGTGCTGCAGGTTCTTCACATATTCTGGGCGGGCTTAATCTTACGCATGGTTTATAAGTTCCTGAAAGGCAAGGTAAGAATCAGTGGTTAAATCAAGAATAAGGCATCCCTGACTGATATTTGATATCCTCGCAAAGGCGCTTTTCATATTATTTTCATATTTACTTTTCAACTTATGTGCAATGCCTTGTTTTTTATGCTGCTGCAACGCAAAGATTGCCCAATTTGGGATCAATAAAGTACATCTTATCTTATCTAGAAATACATGTGAAGTAAATTCCCAACTATCCTTCGCTTCGTCACATATTTAAAACCCTGTATCTGATTCTGTCTCCAGTTAGAAAAAGATGAACGAAGTGATGAAGAGAGCGAGATTGAAGAGGAAGAGGGCGATAAAGGAGGAGAAGAAAATATGGATCAAGGAGAAGATTATTGTTGGGAGAAAAGTAAAAACACCCTAAACTCCCAGCTGTCTATGCTGACCAACAATTGTGTCCTTAATAACTTGACCAATCACAGGGCGTCTGTAGCCGACAGGATGCGTAAAGCTCAGTAAAGTATTGATGACTAATGCTTTTATGAAGTCCCATGTTTATGTTCAGTATGTATAATACTTTGCCGTCTTTACGTCAGCCTATTGATCCTTTTAGGTAACTGGCCAGTGGCGGGGAATCACGATTGTTTATTGTAAAACTGTTAGCAGAGGATGGTTTCGATCCATCGACCTCTGGGTTATGGGCCCAGCACGCTTCCGCTGCGCCACTCTGCTACACAGCCTGGTGTGGACTCAGACCAACAATGGCTGGCTTAGGAGGACAATGCCTTATTCATTAGGCCACTGGGGCGGGTGCTATAGTGCACAATGTTTAAACACCCAGATACTCATTTATAAATCACTTTTCAATGCACAGGGATGGTAGTAGGTGTGTGAAGTCAGATCAGGGAGTCGTGAAAGTGTTCAGTCCCTGTCTGGTTCCTTCTTTGTAGCCTACACTGTTGTTTACACTTTTGTAATACAGTAAGTTCAAAAAATACTTGTTTATTAACAAAAATGAAATTGTGACTCCAATAGCCGATGTAAGACCCAGCATATAGGCACAAGTGGATGTTTAATTATGTAAAATATGACTTTTGTGACACAACATACAAGTAGAAAATGAAATTCATACTTTTACTCTTGCCAGTATGTGTATTTGTATGCCTACCTTGATAAAGTATCTTATGTGATTAAGTCAAATTACATTGTTTTATTTACCAATCTTTTGAATCATACTTGAATAGTCCATTATTACAAAGGTTCTTTAAGTCTTTACAGCAAAAAATATGATCTGTTATAACAAGAGATAATCCTTTATAAATGCAACTTTTGTAATTAAAAAAAGAATTTCTTTAGTAAATCATGATCACCTGTTAATAGTTTTTTGACTCAGATTGCTTACCTGCATTTTGGATCTGCTCATGTTATCTTTTTTCTTCACATTTTTGCATGAATGCACCGCATTTTCCTTCGGGAATAAAAAGGTACTTTTATCTTCTCCATGACAGACACATCTTCTCCTGTACCACGGGGCCATCTGGTGGCTCGCACCGGGACGACACAGCTGGTAGATGATATCATGAAATGTAATGTGATAACAAATAGACGTGTAATATAATAGTATCAAGTGAAAATGTGTGTAATTGTAGTCACATATTCGTACTGTCGAGGACACGTACTATTTGCTTGACCAAATATAGATCAAAACTGTGATAGTGGATTTCTAAAGGGTGGGGCCACACCTTTCCAAATAAAATACGTCATACATTTTCTGTAAGGCTCCAACCATTTGGATAACTTGTCCTTGGTCATGAGGAATGGAGGGATTTTGGGACTTAATTTGCTGACTTTCGGTGAGTTTTCTATTAGTTTTATTTCCAATTATATGTGTTGCAGAACTAATTTAGATGCACTGTTTGCTTGCGCTAGCAGTTTGCCCAGTTTAACTAAGCTACTGTTACTTTATCTGCAAACCCCTGTCCTTGTGCCAATGCTAATGTAACCGTTAACTCAAGCTAATAGGTCGGCCCTCACTTGTTGTAATATTATGTTATTTAATTATTGGTCAACTCTATCTTTTTTTAAGTTTAGTGTAAATAATCTAATTAGCGAGTAGTGTATTAGCTTATCGCACCCATGGATGTATTATAAGAAACCACCCTCTAATTAAGCGTTAGGTGAGCCGTGAGGAAAGCTAAGCTAACGTTAGCTGATTTCGACAATCAGGTCGTATATACAAGTTCAATTTAGGCCGTATGCATCAGTACTTACCCTCTAACGTATGTGTTCTTGGTTGTTGTTTGCTTATATCCTGTTATTGTATGCGTTTATCATTTTTAAATCAGATTTTAAGTCAATCAAGTCAATGTTGCCTATGACAAGCCGCCTAGCGATGAAATGAGAAATGCATGATGTCGCTTGAATTGAGCGCATTTGCTGTCACAAGGGAGCGCTACAAAACCGGTGATAACTGTCGCTGCGATCACTATAGAAAAAGTTGGGTTATGAATTTTGCTGAGATTTCATATTTAATCATGTGAAAACTGTAGAAATTGTTGTCTCTGTAGCGCTAGCGCAATTGCTTAGTGCGTTTGGCTGTTAACCGAAAGGTTGGCGGTTCGAGCCCACCCACGGACGACAAATTGTTAAGAAGTTTGTATTTATTTCTGCGTTTTATATTTTAATTAATTGTATGAATGGGTATCTATCGCAGCAGATCGTCACCGCTCCTCATCTGAAACCTGCCAGTCCCTGCCGGCTATACAGTAACCCTCCCCTATCTGTGCCAGTGTGTCAGCAGAGCAGAGAAATCAGACACTGAACGAAATTGTTTCCCTTTATATGCACAGGAATGGTTTATTATGTTACTACTTTTCCTTACTGCTTACAGTGAATGGTCACGGAAACTTCTTAAACGATTGTTTTTGTTAAATTATGGAAAATGCGCTATTTTATTGGTAAAAGTTGTAGTTATTACATGTAACTTGTTAGATGCTTTTGTATCCAAAGCAACTTACATATTCAATACTGTGGGCAATCCCCACAGGAGCAATTTGGGGTGAAGTGTCTTGTCCAGGGACACAATGACATGCTGACTGCAGTAGGGTTTGAACCTGTGAAACCCTGATACGAACACCAACGCTCAACCCACTGCACCATTATTATTTGGCATTTGAGAAGTTATATCTTAAAGTCCTTATCTTGCATAATTTACTTTAGCTGAAAGATCATAGAACTGTTTCAAAATGCATTAACTTGTTGGGTCTTACTCCAGTAACACGTGATATAGATCGAATATCGTTTCCTATTTGCTGTAAATCACTTGTTAATATCGGGAAAATGGGTCAAATTCAGAGGTATCCAGAAAAGTCTGGATTCAAACTTGCCGCTGCTTGGTGCTGTGTCGTGACGTCACGTGTGGTTCCGCGAATCCTGGTGAGTTCAGCCCGTCCCAGCATCACACAGTGTAGCATTGCTGGTATAGCCGCATGTCAACTTTGTGTATCAGTGTTTATCTCCGAGTTTGTCTTGTTTTTTCCGGATCATGGTGAAGAGGTGTGTCGTTGGCGGGTGTAGCAACACCAATCGGGATGGTTTTACCGTTCATTTNCAGCCTGCACGCGGGAGGTTCAGATCTGAACTCTGCTTTGTCAGGAGCTTTAAGTGCGCTCAATGTGAGACCCGCCCCCCCAGCCCCCCTCCCTGCTAGCCCCTCACTGTCCCTGCACACATAATCTGTCCGTCTAGATGAGTGAAGCGCCGGGAGCCGTGAGTGGCTTCAGCATTATCTAACACCAGTGCAGAGGACATGGACACTGAGGGCCCGAAGCCACACAGCCAATATTTGTTTCACCACTTTTATTAATCCTATTACAAATAATTGTTTTGTTTGTTGAAAATTAGACCTCCTAGTTGACTCATTGACTTGATTTGAATGTAACGTTATTCCTGTGATTCGTGTATCATAATAACTATACATTGGAGTTCTAACTAAAGATTTATTTTTAAAAAATTGATTAGACATCCTCTGTCAATTTCGGAAAATGTGAAAGTTTTGCAACCTTGTTTGGTTCAAGGAGGCCTATTTCAACAAGCCCCCACCCCCGCCCCCTTTAAAAAACAACTGATCTCACTTATTCTCACCATCATTAATACTTGAATAACAGAGATAATGGCACCTAACATATCACACAGCTCACTTGGTATCAGATTGTTAAACTGTAAACTGCAGGTGATACTGGAACTAAGATCATGTTTAAGAGCAAGATGTCGACTGATATATAAAAGTACGACCTAGCGGTGAAAGTCGTCTTACTGTCGGTCGTATTATATAATGCTGTTCAAACTTAGATCACACTGCATTGCAGGTTTTCCTGAATTTCAAAAAAGTTCACGCTCAAGACGTGGAACAAAACCATTGGAGCAACCTGACTGCACCTGTGGCTCAGCTCCAGATTCTGACTGAGAATTAATTAATTGACACAAAAAAAACTGTACAAACACTGGGACAGATTGCAGTCCGTACACATCCCCTCCCCCCCCCCCTGCCAGAGGCCACATGATGTCTCTCTGTAGGTTTAATTAATGGTCCATGAATTGTCACACTGTCCTGAAGGGCCTGGTAATCAAATCACACAGAGCAGTGCTCCAGCAGGCTGCCCACTGGGGTCATAATTGATACAAGTCTGCAGCCGGCACGGTTATGAAATTCAACATTTCCATCTCTGTCCTTGTTGTTACAGATGGTGCAGTGGGAGGTCAAGCTGTCTTTGAGGAGCATACGCAGTTAAATGCAACAGTATCTGTTCCCCGTGATCGCAGGTGAGTCTGGGTAAACAAAACATTATCTGTGGGGCACTCAAGCGTTTGTTGCCCATACACTGAAATGTACCCTGGTGTTTCTAAAATGACGAACCATTAACTATTAATATTGTACATACACACCTGACATACTAAATCACGTAGAATAAATACCATCTATGTTCTTTAAAGTGGACCTATCATGCTATATTTGAATAATATACAAAACATGTATGTGAAGTTTTTTTTTCAAAATACCAAACAGATCATGCATTTTAGCCATGCCTCATTTCGCTCTATTTGCTCTTTTCCATCCCTGTTTTTGCAAGGGCTGATTCTGTGGCAAATGAGCTGCAGCTGACCACGCCCCCCTGCAAAGGAGGGGGGCGAGGCACGAGCGTCATGTTACCATGCTGTTACCATGCTGTTACCATGCCACGGCAACCTCTCATTCCCCTGATACTGTAGGTGGAGAGTTGCCCATATAGGCGGAGCTCCTCGTCACTGACGTCAGAGATATTTTCAAATCTGGATCAGTCTGTATCAGCTCCTTTGCAGCCCCGTTTTTAGAGATTTGGGTAAGGAGGAAAAGAGAGAGGGTTGTGTTTTCTGACTTGGTGAGTTCCCTGGAACACCGGGGACACATAATAAAAGACGCACAAAAGTGCATTTTGCATGATAGGTCCCCTTTAAGTTTGTTGAAAAAACNCTCAATGGGACCATCTGGTTAAATAAAGGTTTAAAAAAAAAGAAATTCTTTAAAAAAAAGAAATTCTTCAAAAAAAAAAAAAATCGTGGTAGATTTTCTCAGTCTCACGACGGTATTGAGATATTTATTTACCGCGATATCGTGATATTGGATATATCGTTACATCCCTAGTAATAATGTATTTTAATGTTAACTATGTTTGTATACCTACATTTATGTGGAACTGCAGGACGGAGTTCCTAACAAATGTCCTTACGGGGACAATAAAGTATATCGTGACGCACACAAGATTTTCGAGAGCTGCCTTTTTGTTACTGCAAGTCAAGTGACACAATGGCAGGTGCTGAGTGGATTGTTCTTCCACTGGAAAATACAGAGCATGACACCAGTATTGTTTAAAAATAACTCCTTATCAAACTGTGAGACATTTTAAATTCCCAACTTACAAAATGCTTTATTCATGAGAAACACTTTAACGAGATGAATAGCAACAAGAAAGACACGCACAGGATGTTTTCAGAGTCGTTCCCTTCTCCCTCTCGTTTTTATCCTAAAAAAGTAGTAGGCCTACAATTATTTTCCCGTACAAGTTA